TCGATGGTGGTACATATGGGCAAACTTGGACATATTTCGTATATATGTATTCTGGAAGATCCAGTCAGGAAAATGTTAGGGTCATTAATCCTGTTTCAGTTACCACCATCAGTTGGCGCTTCAACGATATGAATAAAGTCTTTGACACGAGACTACTTAAGAAATTTTTGCGTCCGGCCAAAGATTGAACCTAAAAGATCAGCTGGAAACCCTATCATATCAAGTTTGCATATCAATAGGAAGTGATTTACAGAGTCAAATGCTTTACTGAAGTCTGTGTAAGTGACATCAGTTTGAAAATTATTTTTAAAGCCATTTATCACATAGGACGTGAGCTCTAAAAGATTTGTTGTAGTAGAACTGCGCTTCATAAATCCATTGTCGACGGTCGAACATTGTAATCGATAGTAGTGTAAGAAAATCTAGTATTTTGGTATTTTGTGGCCCCTTGAAGTATGGGCCTACTTATGTCGCTTAGAAAATGGCGCCAAGAAATGTGCTTTCACTGTCTTGTGAATCGAAGGAGGGCACACTGCGGTAAGCTTTAATTTGTTTGTAAAATATGAGGCTGATTTGAATTTCACAGAATAAAACAACAACTCTACGACCAACGAACTAACCGTTCAATGGCGCACGCCTTTACGAGTTCTTTCTTCGGGACTACGCGTGAGTGGGGTAGTTGTTAAAACGGCAACTCCACTATCGACACAAGACATCCATGTTGGGATGAAGATATGACTGATCAAGTGAGGGGTTATTGCTCGTTAAAAAAACTTTGAAATTGCTGACAATTTAGAAATACATACCTTTATAATTGCTTGCATCCGACTTATACCCCTTTTTGGTAAATGGGAATAACAAATGACTCCTTCCAAAGAAGGGGAAACAGACAAGTTTGTAGGGATAGGGTAAACATTTTGAGAAGGAGTTTACACAGTGCACTAGCACAGTGTTTAAGAACACACCCAGGAATCCCGCCAGGACCTGGGGAGTAAACTGGTGGAACTCGTTGAAGAAAAAAAAGTAGGAAGCTTGTTGTTTGAAAAAATCATAATGAAAATGCTATAGTAACATATTGTAACGATACTTAGTTGCCCGTCAAGGTTTCCAAGTTCGCTACTGGCAGCCGAGTGGATACTTTTTAATAGGTGGGGGTCAGCCCACGTTATGCCAACACCATTCAAACAACAGAGCAATAGTTCTTAAGAGTTAGTTTAGGTTTTTTATCACCCGCTTAATTACACAAGCTTGCAGCCTGGCAGACAACCGAAAGAAGAAGGAGATAACATCGATCAGTGTGATCGATATTCGCCTAAACTTTATGACAGGCTTTTGACAGTTCCTAGAGTCACCAGTCGTTGGCATGTTCTAGGGTTACCAGACGTCTGCTTTTGGTACTGGGGTGCCACCTGGTCAAGTAATTTGAAATCAACTTTCGGTACATTACCCCCCTCTTAGACTCAAGTCTCCTGGCCGAGTAATCGATCGGTGATAAACCAGATCGGAATGTTGTCGAATCACAGTAGCAGGACCAATCCAGTGAGACTGTAGTTTTGGGCACAGCTCGACCTGGCTTCATGCGAAGCTGAGCGATAAGCCCATAGGGCTACCGATAGGAGTTGGTCCCAATCCCACTGATCGGCTGCAACGAATTTAGCTAAATAGTCCAGCAAGGTTTGGTTAAACCTCTCGACCATGCCGTCTGATTGAGGGTGACGTTCGGGTCTTTTCCACATCAAGAAGGTGCATGCAGGATTGAAATACCGCGGACTCAAAATTGCGGCCCTTAACGGCAGAAAACTTCTTGCACAAGGGCCTTGGCTACGGTTTGAGTCGTCTGATCAGGAAGGGCGATGCACTCGGACCATTTAGTAAAATAACACATCACCACGGCAATGTACCTGTTGCAGAGCGAGGTGGTAGGCAAAGGCCCCAGAACGTCGATAGCTAGGCGTTCGAAGGGGGCGCCAATGGAGCTTGGTTGCAGCTGGCCCACCGTTCGTCTAAAGGGTCCCTTCCTCGCGTTGCACTTGAGGCAGCGTGCACACCAGATGGCTACGTCGGCTGATTGACCGATCCAGTAGTACCGTATCTTTACTTTAGCAATCGTCTTCTTGACTCCAAAGTGACCCTCAGAAGGCGCATTGTGAGCATGGCGTTTCCTCCCGCAATGATTGCGGTACTAGTGCCACTTTCCCACCACTCTTGATCCGGGTTTTTATAACGCCGTCTTCCAAGTGAAGGTTTTCAAATGAATGCCAGTAGGCTTTGATGTCGGGGCTTTTGCCCCAAATCTGGGATTTGAGGGGTCGTTTTCTATTTTCCAACCATGATACGACCAATGCTAGTTGGCCTTCCGGTTCTTTAAAGTTGAACAGCCTGTGGAGCGAGGCATGGTCCGCAAGACAAACTTTCGTCCGTACAAATAATGATGAAAATGTTTGATGGAGAGAACGGCGGCTAACAATTCTCTTCTGTTAACGCAACAGTTGCGCTCTGCTGCGCTAAATGGTTTGCTGTGGTATTCCAAAACACGCTCCTGACCTTCCTGATATTGGCTGAATACAGCTCCAGCGCCGTGATTGGATGCGTCAGGGTCGAGAATAAACAGGCCATCGGTATCTGGGAAAGTGAGTACGGGCGACGTTGTCAACTTTATCTTTAGCTGGCCAAATGCTTTCTGAGCCTTGGTGGACCACGTGAAGGGGCGGCGGGCCTCAGTTAACTCATGCAGCGGCCGGGCTATTGTCGCAAAAGCTGGGATAAACTGACGCTAATACGAGCACAATCCCACGAAAGATCGTACCTCTTTCTGGTTGCGGGGCTGTGGCCAATCGACTACTTTTAAAATTTTCACGGGGCATGCCTTTAATCTGTTGTTGACCGAGGTAATTCTCTTCGGGGCGGAATAAAGCACATTTACGTTTGCTCAGTTTAAGGCCGGCGGTTACCAAACGGTCAAATACTTGGTCTAAATGAACCAGGTGCTCCACCGCTGTGCGGGAGTGTACGATTATGTCGTCTAAGTACACCAGTGTTGACTTCCAAGAGAGCCCGGCAAATAGGCCGTTCATCAGGCGTTCGAAGGTTGCTGGCGCGATTGTCAGGCCGAATGGCATAACATTGAATTCGATCAACCCCACGTCACAAGTGAATACTGTTTTGGGGCGCGATTCTTGATCCATTTCTACTTGCCAATATGTGTTGGGCAAGGTTAGTTCGCCCCATATCATCGTCCCGTTGGGCAAACACTGTCTCGTAGCGTTGGAGTATTTTCTGCCAGTCTACGTGAAGGTTTGTCGGTAAGTCTGGCGGTAGTGCCAGCGACGTCCAATTCGTACTGTCGGGTTCCAGGAACTTCGGGCCATCCGGCAGTACTTCGGCTGATTCCACTTGGCCCAAAATGGTGAAAATTGGTAATCGGCATTCATTGGAACTCAGATTCAGCAAGTGCAGAATTGTAGAGTTTTTTGGGGGCAGGACGGATTACTTCAGTAGGTAACTGGGAAAAGGCACCACGCTCCAAGACTGCCACGGGCCATCGATCCCGTGATAGGCAGCTGTCTTTCAGAAGGTGTTGCTGTAAGGCCGAATTCTGGTGGCGACTGTGGAGTACAGTAGGCTAGGCAGCGTCACACCTGGGGGTGTAGTGGGATCGCACCCCACGGGTATTTGAGGTGTAGCGCTTTTAGATCCACAGATGCCTGTTGACGCAACAGAAAATCGATGCCCATAAAGCTCGGGGTGTTACTTTCCACCAAGAGGAATTCGTGTTGTAGGGGTCGGCCAGCTATAACCAGACTGGCTAGCACCCGGGCTGTGGCGATGAACTGTTCTGCAGACGGACCTTGTAGAACAACGTGGCACGGGTGGTTATTAGTCCCTGAAAGTCTCCACGGTTGACTAGGGAGACGTAGGCGAAAGTGTCTACGATTAGTCGTCCTGTGGTCTTCTGTAAGAAGATAAAACAGTGTATATGCTGACCACTACGTGAACTGCAGGTATACATAGCGTTAGTGGGCAAGGCGTTGAGCTCCAGTGGAATATTGGCCGGTGGCACAGGGTCAACTTCCTCGAATGTCGGGTCAGCAAACAAACGGGTCAAAACGGACTCAGGTTCTTCAGGGGCTGTAAAACGTTCTGCGGTTTGTAGAGATTTTTTTGGGGCCAGGCGAGTGAGCGACCTACAACTCGATTATGTTGTTGTAGGTCGGTTCAGGCAGCTCTCCAAAAACTGCTCTCCCAAGGCGTTCGAGTTCCATTGCGAAGTCATCGAGTGTCTCTTCAGGGCCCTGCATACGGTTATGAAAAATGTGATATGCGTCCCTACGATAAAATGCTCGTGCATAGCCGTTTATAGCCTCGTAGGAACGAAGAGTAGACTCTGAGAGTGCAGCGTGAAAGCGTTGAGCGCGCCCGCGCAGACTTGTGTAGAGCTTACGGCACTTCTTTCGCTCAGACCAGTTATACTCCTCTGCCAGGAGCCATCAAGCGGTGGCAGTGACCGAGTGCTGGTGGTTGTGACGTTTGCCTGCCTCCGGTAGGCCGCCTATCTGGCGGTCACATTAATACATACTTGGTGGGGCGAACACACAAAACAAACTAACTAGCGAGCAGAGCAACAGAATGAGGCCGTTACAGAGTATTTTTGACTTGGTGTCAATCATTTTGTAACAGTTTTTTCATCACAACTGTAGGTGCGTGTGTGCTGTCGGGGTAAAGAAGTACAAGGCATTTTGCTTGAAAAATTTGCACTGTATTTATGATTTTAATCTACTTGTTTAATTTGAGGAATCTAGCTTCTATAGTTCCCAACATGTAAAAGCTCATAGGTTTACACGAGATCTTGACGCTCCCAAAACTCCGCGACGAAACAGAGAATATAAAAATTTAATCATTCCTTTTTTTTATTGCTCAAAAATTTAATACGTAGATTAAGAATACCGAAATCTATGCCAACGCATAAAAATAACATTAATTTTGTCTGTTTTTTTTTTCAGTAAATTGCTTTTGAAGGACACTCATGCTTGCTTTTACCCCTACTACTCTGCGACCAATATTGACCGCCTTGTGTCGTCAGGATACAACCACAGTCAGTCGAAGGAAGAGATATCACAAAGGAAAGTGTAATATACCACAAGGGACCGCAGCTTCGGCCGCGCAGATTGTATTTAACAAGAAAGAAAGCTAGCCTCGGCTAGCCGCAGCATATTATCATAAACTATAAGCAAATTTCATAAAGGTTAACAGCATCGAAACTTTCTATTACACTGTGCGACAAAAAAATGTTGAAGTTGATTTTTTCTTATTTTTCACTTCTACTAATCAAAATAATATTATAAGTTTCTGGATTTGTTAATATCAATAGCCAATCAGCTTTTACGCACACTCAAATGTCCCAAAAACGCGCGTTTTTGCATATTTCACAGCCTTATAATCACATATTGGGAAAATATTTTTTTTTTTTCATGCAAGTTTAATATCTATTTATTAAAATGTATTAAGCAAATATACCGTTAGGCTTTTATCGCAATGCTTTAAAATTTTTTTTTCCCAGCTCTATACTCTGGGCGACTACATTATGGCAATAAAGTACCCGGAAATTCCCGTTTAAATTGCCCGCGTAAGAGATATTTGAAAAAATTTTTTTTTGCCAAGTTAGTAGGTCCATTCTCAATTAAGAGGCGAGATTTGAGCGGGATATGTCAACTAGTTTGTTTACAAACGCTAGTTTTGTAAGTTCACCTCAGCTGTGCTCCGCGATTTTTGTAATGGATATAAAAATTGAACAATGAGTTTGTCTCAAATTTTGTGTATCCAACGGAATTTTGTGCGCTGAAGCGTTGCGAATGTTACAAAAGACTTATGGTTTTATCGAAAACTCAAGCATATGAATGGTATAAAGCATTCAGTGAAGGACGAGAAGTCGTGGACGACTTGCCTAGGTCTGGATGACCATCCACCTCTAACACCGATGAAAACATCAGCAAATTGAAAGCAATCGTTCTTAAAAATCGTCATGTGAGTATTAGAGAGGTAGCACAACACCTGAACATCTCTTGCGAATCCGTTCGTTTAATTTTGGTGGAAAATTTAGGCATGAGACGCGTCGCTGCACGGCTTGTTCCAAAACCTGAATTTCTTTCAAAAAGAGTACCGTGGGAAAGTCGCTTTGGTCATGCTTGATCGTGCAAATTCCGATCTCACATTCATGAATCGAATAATAACTGGTGATGAGACATGGGTGTACGAGTACGACATGCAAACAAGTCAACAATCATCAGAATGGAGGAAGAAAAACGAACCGAAACCGAAAAAAACCAAAAATCGCGGAGCACAGCTGAGGTGAACTTACAAAACTAGCTGTTGTAAACAAACTAGTTGACATATCCCACTCAAATCTCGCTTCTTAATGGAGAACGGTCGTATCAACTGGGCAAAAAAAATTTTTCAAATATCTCTTACGCGGGCAATTTAAACGGGAAATTCCGGGTACTTTATTGTCACAATGTACGTATGGAACTTGTTACGCGAGGATACGTCTGAAAAAGCCAAAAAAATCAGGAAAAAAAAATTCACTTTTAAAAAATAATAGTTTATTGAAAGTAAAAAAAATAATATTTTGTGTTAATTATTTTCATAATAATAATTTCATAAAATTTACCATGAAAAAAGAAATCGTATATTTTAAAAGGTGGCATAGATATTTTTGTGCATAATTTATTCACCTTAACCGAAAACAATCATACTTTTTTGATTGTTAAACAAAGATTTTGTTAAATTTTGTCGCACAGTGTTATTTTGATACATTTACAACGTTTTCTTATATGACAGCAATATAATATAGTAGTCCGATTTTTATCAATTTAAATCAGAAATTCAGGAAATCATGCATGTATGATAAAAAACAACGATGTTATAATGTTATTTTTGTTATTTCTATTTAAATTTTTTGATCTTTCCTATGGCAGCTACGTGATATAATAGTTTTTTCTTACTTCAAGGGTGTTAAAAAATTTGATATTCAAAAACCATGCTCGTGTGATAAAAAACAACGACGTCGTCATTTTTTTTCAATTTTGTATATTTTTTTTATCTTTTCTTTGGCATCGAAAATATATAGTTATCCGACCTTGACAAAATTTAATTTGAAATTCAACAGTAGTTAAAAAACACCATCTGAAAGAAATTAAGTCGATATTATCAAAAACAACAGCGTAGTAATTTTTTTTCAGGTTTTTTTTCCTATATGGGAGCTTTTTGATATAGTTACCCAATCCGGTTCATTTCGACTTACATATATACTACGTGCAATTACTACAGAACTTTTGGTAAAATTTCAGCAAGATAGCTTGAAAACTCAGAGACAAGTTTACATAGAAATAAACAGGAGGACAGAAGGATAAGCGGACAGGCGAACTCGTCTAGTTTGGTTCACATCGTGATGTTGATAAAGAATATTTTTATACTTAACTAAATTTAAGTATGCCAATTGTCGAGTATGCCAGTGAACCCAGCAACCAATTCCACTGTGCAGACCACCGAATACGAGCCAAAAACCGCAAGGCCCACCAAATGGCGAAGTCTAAACTCCATTCTAACCCACAAGAGGCCTGCCGAATGTTGAATTTTCGCAGGTTACCTCGTATCGAATTTCGATTTTTTTGTGGCGTTATGTTGGTACTCATGTCTCTCACTTATGCCGACAAGCTCGGCCATTTTGAACGTTCACTTATTATTTTCGATTTTTACCTCTTTCAAAAAAATGGATCAAAGAACCTGTATCAAATTTTGTGTGAAAAACAAAATTAAGTGCGTGGATGCATTCCGAATGTTGACTGTGGCATACGAAAAAGCTAACTTGGACCGAAGCAACGTTTATCGGTGGTACAAAATGTTCTCAAAAGGCCGAGAAGATCTGAACGACGAAGAGTGAGCCGGACGCCCGAGCACTTCAAGAACAGACGAATTTTAAAGTTTTGCTGACAGTTTACTTCGATTGCAGGGGCGTGTTAAATGTTTGTTGGCTGAATAGACAACGTGTCAGAAAGGTAATAAGAATAGGCAGAGAATAGCATCTATGCATACGAAGTGTGGCAATTAAGTTCCGGGAATTTATATATGCATGTCTAGAGGGCATTGATATTTCTTAAGCTCTAGTGAAAGTTTGAAGTCGAAGTCGGAAGTGCTTTTTTAAAAGGCATCACGAATAAGAGCGTTTTTCCATACAAGCATGTCCATACAAACAAGTCGTGATCCAATCGGAACGGGCAGTGACCAATAGAAGATCAATAGTAAACAGGGTCAAATTAATGGTCCCAGGTGGCTTCCTTGTGGTACACCAAAAATAACCTGAAGAGTCTACTCAAGGAATTTTTTAATATTACAAAGGACTTGAATAGGCTGCTGGTGGTAGACCTGAGGGAAACACCCGGCAACTTAAAAGTGACCAGCAGAACTCCTCTGCCGACGAGCTGTAGACTTTGGCAACCCCTCGTATGTTTCTAAGATCGGCAGCTAAAAAAGATTCGGACACCGATCAATCCACAGTGGACTGTGTGCGACCAATGCCAATACGAAGTTCCGATTTGTCTGAAGGTTGTTCCAGTCCAATATACCCTCCAAGAGGCTTCTGAGACCGGAGTACCGGCCCAAAATGTCACTACAGGTCCACAGCATGCTGTACCATAACCTTTTCCAGTAATTCCACAAATTAAACAAATATTTGTTTCTGGCCTGCACCCTGATCTCCCATCATTTGATGTATCGCCTTATATCAAAGACAAAATAAATGCCAATAAAGTGAAGGTGGAAAAATTCAACTTTTCATATGCAAGAAACATTTCATCTTTGAAGATAAGTGTTCCAGACGAACTTTTTAACACCATATGCTCGAGCCATTTTTGGCCCGCTAAAATGGTGGTTAGGGAGTTCGTAGCAAAAAAAAAAAAAAGGAAGGGCCTGTGGGATTAAAACTCCCCAGCCGGGACCAACAAACCGCCCGTCTTCAGCTTCTGCCTTAAAAAAACTAACGACTAACCTCCTAAATAGCTATCAGAATACAAAAGATTTGCGTAGCAAGCTAGCCAAATTGTATACTGATAGCTTTTCGATTGCATCCCAAGTTATTGTGTGTACAGAAGCCTGGTTAAAGCCGGAGATCTTTAGCTCCGCAGTTTTCCCGGTAGGTAAACAATATATAGGCATGACCGTCCCTCGTAATTCCTTATTGCAGTGGACGCTAGCCTCACTTCTGAAGAAGTACTGACTGAAGATTTGAACTTAGAATAAGAATTTGTATGTGTAAAACTGTGCCTCTCTGGTAGATTAATTGTTATAACTGCTCATACATACCTCCTTCGTCCGATCTTATGGACTATTTAAGACACCTATCAGGTCTAAATTCAATTTCGAGTTCTTTGTCCGATATGGATCAGTTGGTAGTTTTATGTGATTTTAATATACATGGAACTAAGTGGTCCTCGAATGATAATTCTATAGCTTTACAACCCATAGGCCACAATGCATTTATTGACTGTCTACTTTACATACCACTGGGTTAGGTAAACCATGCTCGAAACTCATTGGATCGTTTTCTGGATTTGTGCCTTGTCTGAAATCCTGAAGGTGTATTTCATGCTTATCATGCTGCTCTCGATGTGGCTATCGACACGGGTACATCCATTAAAGATTATTCTATAAAGAAAGCTAAGCGAATTCATTGTTTTCGCAGGGTTAACTTTCTTACGTACTTAATCATCTTATATCTAGCAATGACTGGTCCGATCTCTACTCCTGCAATAATTAGAAGATGCCATTACAATTTTTTATACGACAATCAAACTGTTTTTAATGCGTGTGTTCCGCTATGTAGGTAAACCCTCAACATCCAATAAACCACCTTGGCTTAGCAAAGAGTTCACACACCTTAGGAATTTAAAGTCCAGATTTTTAAAAGAAAAACAAAGTTTAAGGTTGTAAGTCTGTTTTTGGCAAATACATAAGTGCTCAGTGTTACAAAAATTCCTTCTGCCTTCGCTTTCATTTAAAAATATTTTTTTTGTATTTATACCCTTGCAAAGGGTATTATAATTTCAGTCAGAAGTTTGCAACGCAGTGA